TGGCAATGAATGTTTGTGGCTTACCCTCCTTGTGAAGGGTGTCAATGATTGTCTTCTGGACAACTGTCAGATCAGCAGTCTTCCCCATGATTGTGTAGCCTAGTGAACCAAACTGAGAGACCATTTTGAAGGCTCAGGAAACCTTTGCAGGTGTTTTGAGTTGATTAGCTGATTGGCATGTCACCATATTCTAATTTGTTGAGATAGTGAATTGGTGGGTTTTTGTTAAATGTGAGCCAAAATCATCACAATTAAAAGAACCAAAGACTTAAACTACTTCAGTCTGTGTGCATTGAATTTATTTAATACACGAGTTTCACAATTTGAGTTGAATTACTGAAATAAATGAACTTTTCCACGACATTCTAATTTATTGAGATGCACCTGTATGTATGTGCTGTATATATTTTGTCTGTAATACAGGTTGACAGTGTAAGCCCTGTACATTAAGGCTGTTAAAGCTGTTTTAAATAGCAAGACAGTGCTTTGTCTCCCAACATCATTGTTGGTCTAAACTTTTATTTTAGCTAGTTTTTGTTTTCTTCTTTTTTAAAATACTTTTTTTTTGTTTTTTAACTGATTTAGGATGAAAAATGGCATGTGTTTTTTTTTTTGTCCATATTTGAATGACAGTAGAGTATAATATGAATATTATCTGTAAATCTTTAATTAAATTTGGTCAATCATAAGCAATAAAAGACATCCGAGGTATTTTTTTCATTGTTGCTAATTTAACCGTGTGTTTAGGGTTGCCTTCATGTACATTTGGTGTGACATAACGCACAGACACACTTTGGTCAAATGTCAACTTTTTATAGTGGTATAATATCTTACTAGAGTAGAATGATTATATATAGATAGATTATAAGAGTGCTATATGTTAGCACTCTTAATTTGTTTGTTTAAATGAGTAACAAAATCTGTAACAGCACCAAATGGATTTGTATGATTAATATGCAATCCAGTGTGATTTAATATATCTAAAATCAATTAAAGTTTATAGTGCATTTTCAATATGTTTATGCCTCCTCTGTAGCTGCGTATAGATTGACAGATAATCCCCCCCCCCACCCTGACATCTAGGAAATGAAAAAAATAACTCAGGAATGTAAACAGGAAACACAAAAGGACTAGTGCACTAAAACAAAGCTAGATTTCAGAAAATCCATAGGTCAGATATAGTGCTGTCATATCGACCTGTAGATTCATGATCAATAGAGCCATGCAAGTTCAATATTGCTGTTAGTGTCCACGAGGCAGTGTCTAAGTATCTTTAAGAACTTTCTTTTTTTTCTTTTTTACGTGGAATACAACAAAGTAATATTTCATAAGCATTTCATATGACATTTGTGCTACACTGTGCCAAGTCTTCTGAAGTCATACAACAGCTTTATGTGAGAAACAGAACATAATTTAAGTCATTATTTGCTGAAGATCTTCCCATCTGTCACAGTTCTTAAATTTAATTAGCACTCAAATCAGTTCATTTATTACCATTATTATTAATTATTATTTTGTTTTTTTTGTTTTTTACTTCAAATGCATTTGCGGTTATCTCAGTCATGCTGTACGGTCATTTCACTTTAACACACACACACACACACACACACACACACACACACACAAAAAGGTTATTTTGTGTACTTTGGTATTTTTGGGGGGTTCGATCAAGGCACGTTGTCGTTTGATGTCACTTCATTGGCTACAAACCTGGTGTAGTGCAATTTTTATGTGCCATATTTGAATTGAATGTGAATAAGATTTAAGAACTTTGACAGAGAGGACGATTTGAATGATGGATTTGTTTTTTACAAACACACAGCTTTTAACCTCACAAGACGTGAAGTGATGAACTGGAGTGGTGTGGATTACTTGTGGATTATTGTGATGTTTTTATCAGCTGTTTGGACTCTCATTCTGACGGCACCCATTCACTGCAGAGGATCCATTGGTGAGTGAAGGACCATGGAATGCTACATTGGAATCCATTGGTGAGTGATGGAATGTTACATTTCACTAAATCTGTTCAGATGAAGAAACAAACCCATCTACATCTTGGATGGCCTGAGGGTGAGTACATTTTCAGCAACTTTACTTACTTTAATGCAGCCTAAACATTTATATTTAAGTGTGCACAATTATCAAGTTTAACTTGTGTTAAAATCACACTCACTGAACCAAATACAGGAGAGAACCACACTTTGCTTTGTTTGAAGAGAAAGACATTCCGGTAAATCACTTGTTTTCATGATAACTACTGTACAGACTTCCTCTTTTTTCACCTCTCAAATAAAGTTTCAGACACCAAGTGCTGCAGACGCTGAGTGATATGACTCATCAGAATGAAATGGTTAATGGTTATTATCATAATCACATACTTAGTATTATAACATAAGCATAAAGAAAGTGAACGTGACTCGGCCTGTGGAAGAGCCATTTTGCATTTCAGGAGCAGTGTGTGTGGGGTTAAATGAGGTCACTGGCTTTTTCTGCAAATTTATTTTGCATGTTTGCTGACGTCTGGTGGAAAGTCTTTGCTGCTGCAGTTTTCTTCTTCAGGCGGGTGTCATCTTTTTTTTTAGGCCAAGGACCCATTGGTGAAAATATACAGAGCAGAGATCCTTGTTACAAATTGTGAAAAATTTGTTGTTGCATTTTAAGTCTGACCTATAACTGGCTTTTTCTGCAAATTTATTTTGCATGTTTGCTGACGTCTGGTGGAAAGTCTTTGCTGCTGCAGTTTTCTTCTTCAGGCGGGTGTCATCTTTTTTTTTAGGCCAAGGACCCATTGGTGAAAATATACAGAGCAGAGATCCTTGTTACAAATTGTGAAAAATTTGTTGTTGCATTTTAAGTCTGACCTATAATATAATGTGTATATTACCATAGTCTTGTATTTACTTACATTACACCCTAAAACATAAAGATTCCAAAAGGAGACATTCCAAAACAAAAATATATCATTTAATATTTTAATATATGTATATAACTAATTTTTGTGGAAAAAAAACATATGTGAGCTTAAACAATTATTGTAAGACCTCAAGTTTATGTTCTTTGATTTACGCCTTTCACCTTTGTATGGTTTAATATTTCATGCCAGGTTAAATGTAGCATTTTTTGCTTATTGGATGACAGCATACAATAATTTAGAATTTAGGTGCGGCATCCTCCCCGTGCTTTAAGTGTTTGGTCCGTTTTTTATGACATTCTGACAAAGGTCAAATGGGTGGAGTCTTTCAGTCCATGACGGGGCATGTGCTTTCTATGTGGATCTCATTAATATGAATAAATAAGCATTATTATTTAAAGAACATTTACAGTACTTTTTTTTTTTTTTTACATTTTCTGAAGAAAATGTGAGTGCTGCTTGCCTGTGCAAAATTCAGAATTTTGCTAAATGGTCGAAAAGATATTCTATGTGGTTGCTAGGGTGTTCTGGATGGTTACTAGGTGATTGTTTACTGGCCCAAGTCAAAAGAGAATTTTGACTTGGGAAAGAAAAAAATATCTTAATTTGTGTTTTGAAGATGAACAAAGGACATGAGTAATTAATGACAGAATTTTCATTTTTGTGTGAACTATCCCTTTAATATGCTAAATACCTTAAGTTTAATAGTTATGAGCAATAGTATGCTTGTCTTGGCAAACACCACTAATAATATAATTGTCCCTTTGAGTTTATTTTTTGTCTTTTAGCCATTTTTTATAATTGTATTATTTGTATACTTTTGTTTGGCAGATCTCTGTCGCTTCGGACAAAAGCGTCTGCTAAAAAAATGAATAAATGTAAATATACCTGGTGCATTTCTGCCTTTGGTCAAAAGAGGGCGCAAGAGGAGAGGAGACTCCATGTAACTGTG